GTGAGTGAGTATAATGACGAATGACGAATGGCCGTGCAGTCGTGAGTCGTTGGTCGTGAGTGTGTAGCACAAGCAGGCAGGTCCTTCTGCTGCTGCTGCCGCTGCTGCTGTGCAGAAGCTACGCAAGCAATTTGTGCTTATTCACAGGCCGGGCCGGTCATCCTGACCGCCACGGGCGCGTGCGCGTGCGCGTGCGCTTGCATATGCATGCATGGCACGGGTCCAATTTTGGTCGCCCCCCGCGCGCCGGCATCACGTTCCGTCGTTCTCAGTTTTGAGTGCGGGCGGGCAAAGATCTGCTGCTGTGGTGATCCGAAACATTCGTCACACTGATCACGTGGCAAGCCAGAGGCGGGACGCACTCTCGACTCTCGACTCCAAAGACTTTCTTGTCAAAATTTCACAATACAACACCTCTTGACCGGGGCAAGCTGGGCCTCTCACAAGCAAAACGGAGAAGCTAGAGCCAATCGAGCTTGAAGGACAAGATCCGGATCGATGCAGCACGAGATTGCCGCGGAGTTCGGGGCAAAGACATCGAGGGATTCAATGCGCAAGCAAAAAGAGCATGGCGCGCAAGTAAGGACCTAAGCACTTGCTTGCACCCAGCTGCACACTCTCCAAGTGCACAGCCGGCGGACGGACGGGGGGGGGGACCTAAGCCGCGCCTCTCTTTCTCTTTCTCAGCGCTCTCGCCTTGCCAATAGCTCCTCCTACCCAACTTTTGCCCTCCTTGGAAGCGCCGCTCAAAGGTGCGCGATTCGCACTCTCGGCGGCGGCGGACTTATCAGCAGCGCCGACGAAATTCTTGCGCGTGCTCTGATCAAAGCGTGGCCAACGCTTCGCCTTCTCCTCCATCTTTCCACGCCGCGCTGCTGCTGAAAAGTCTGCTCGGCTAGCTCCTGCTCCTGCTCCTCCTCCCCTGCCTCTTCCCCTGCTCGACGCGCCCCGTCTGTCCGAGCTGATAGTGTCGCGCTCATCGTCCGTTGAGCGTTCCTATGCCGCCAAAAAGAAGCTCAGCAACGTCAGCTTGCGTCCAGTCAAGAAGGAGAGAAGCAAAATCCTTGCGTTATTTGCCCCCCTCCCCGCCCCGCGCTGCCCGTCTCACCTTTCTCTTTCTGTCTCCATCCTTATTCTTGGCAGATTCGTTCCTCTCCCTCCTCTTCTTTGTCACCGCGCTATTCTCCACCGCAAATTCGGCCAAAATCAAGCCTCCTCTTTCCGCTTTAGCCCCCTTCCCATCTTTCAGCTCTTGCATCCTCTGCTTGACCCGTCTGATTCGCGTTTCTCTCTCCGTCTTGCTCGCGTCGCTTTTATCCGCATCCTTCTCTCCAGTCTTGTTCAGCAGCTTGACAAGATCTTCCAGCTCGCCGACCAGCCATTCGTGAAGCAGCTGGGAGACCTTGGTAGCATTGATCCACCTCACAGCCTTGAGCGCATCGACCAGGCTCCTCATCTCCACAAACCCATACCCTCGACTTCTCCCCTTGCCAGTGATGGGATCCAATCTATCCATCTGTCGAATCACCTTGGTCTGAACCACCGCCGTCAATCTCTCTCCTCTCCTCGTCTGGATCTTGCCGTCCGCTCCGACAATCGCAGCGCTCAAAGTCTTGTCTTCCTTTTCCTCCCTTGTCAGATCCGGCCTCTTGCCCTCCTTGACTTCCTGATCAAAGGATCTCACAGCGTGCAGCGCCAATCTTTTCAGCGTCCGATCAGAGACGTAGAGCGGAAGCTGTCTGACGCTCAGTCTCGTCTTGCTGATGTAGAGCGCCGGATTCGCTCCTAGCTGAGCTTTCCTGATGCCGAAATTGTTCAACCTCTTTTCCCTCTCTGATTCGCTCATCAGTCTGCTCAGCTCGCTGTTCGGAAAGGGTACGCCTTCTCTCATCAGGTGTGTGTTCCTCTTGTCGCTCCTCTCCCTAGCCGCTCTAGCGCTCGCTTCCAAACTTGTAGCTTCCTCCCTTGCCACGGCCGACACGACGGAAAGCACTCTTCCATGCAAGCTAAGCGAGGCGGTAAGAGGTGCCGAAGCGTCCGCAGTGAGCACCGAAGGAGCCGAGAAGGGATTTTTGGCGCCTGCAGCTTGAGGTGCGCGTCCTTGTTGACCTGTGCCGGACTCCGTCTCGACCAGCTGAGCACGTCGAAGCGCGGCATCCGCGGATTCCGTCTGCCAAAAGCAGACAAAGGCTGTTCCTCGACTGCGTTGCGTCGCCTTGTCCATGACGATGCGCGCGTATCTCAATGGTCCAAAGTGTCGGAAAAGATCCTTCAGCTCATCCTCTGTCGCTTGATAGGGCAGATTGCGAAGAAAGAGGGTGCATCCTTGATCAGGCGAGGGCAGGGTCGGTTTCCCAGCTGCCTCGCCTTCTGCATGTTGCGAATCTTCCTCTTCTTCACCCTGCGACGAGCTCGTGTCGCTTTCGTCATCCTCTTCGTCTAAGGGAATAGGCTCCAGATCAGAGTCTCCCTCATCAGTCTCTTCCTCGCCATCCTTTTCGCTTTCACCATCCTGCTCATTCTCCGCATCCGTCTCAACGTCCGTCTCTTCCGCTCTAGCTTCCCATTCGGATCTCTCGAGCGCCCAATCCACCGCCACCACTCTCTCCGCCTGAGCTTCTGCGCTAGTCTGTTCCAATGCAGCCTTTGCAGCCTCTCTCTCCCTCTTGCCCGTAGCAGCCTTCAGCTGCGCCTTCTCGGCAAGTCCGCGCTGGAGCGACTTGCCATTGATGCCAGACAGAGCCTTCTCCGCATCGCGTCGATGCACCATCCACACGAAACCGAATCCGCGTCCTCTTGTCTTTTTTGGCACCTCAGCAGCTTCGTCCTTTTCGCCATCCACCTCCATCTTTGCGTCTGCCTCTCCCTCATCGCCCCCAGCAATCTTGGGCTCCACGACGAGTTGAGGCAAATCGATGCCATAGATGGGCCCAAAAGCGGCAAATGTAGCTCTGAGATCCTCCACTCTGATATCAAAGGGCAAATTCCTGAGGATCAATCTGCTCTCTTTGCCCACGTGGCCCATCTTTTCTTGAAAGGTCAACGCTCTACCGACCGCCTTTGCTTCGACTCGAGCAGCGCTCAACAGCCTATCCATCAGAGCTTGTCGCTTCAGCTTCGTTTCTGGCTTCATGTGCGCTTCCAATCGAGCAGCCGCTTCTGCCTTCTTTTTGAGCACGACTGAAAGAGGCGCACCCTTGAAGACGTGCGAGTCCAGCTTCTCCACTGCCAGAGCGGCATGATTGGGAGTCGCAAAGATGGCATGCGCAACATCTGCCGAGGCTTGCACCTCCTTTACCTCGCCTGTTTGCGCGCTCAACGCCAGAGGATCGACGGCTGGGTAGACGACCCTTTCCACCGGTCCGATCTTTCGGCATCGCTTGTACAGCGTCTTGTCGCTGCATGTGCTATCGCACGCCGACAAACCGCTGATGATGACTGTGCGCGTGGCGTCTGCCTCGGAAGCCAAAGTCGCGCCATTCTCTGCTGACACTTTGCGTTTCTTGCTCGCTGGTCGTTCAAAAGTCTGATCCGTCGCATCTTGCGCAACAGTGACAGCTGCGTCATCCGTCTTCCCATCTTCGACGACAGCAGCAGCAGCAGCAGCAGCAGCAGAAGAGCTCTGCTTTCCCATCTTCCTCTCCTTGAGCGTAGGTTTCTCATCCGCCCAAACGATTTCAATCTTCCTCGACTTGCTGCCTTTCCCACCATCCAGCGTCTTGCCCTGCATCTCTTCCAGCGCCCTTTGCGCATCCTTGGCATCCGCAAAAGTGACGTACCCAACACCTTTGGAAGAGCCTTTTTGCTTATCCGTCACCACAAATGCCCTTCGGAGAGGTCCGACATCGCTGAAGAAAGTCGACAGGTCGGTAGAGGTGGCGCTGAAAGGAAGACGAGAGACGAAGAGCGTGGCGCGTGCTCGCGTTGCTGAAGCTTGATGAGATGCGCTTGCAGGATTTGAAGAAGCTGCTTCCAGAGCGCTCACTTCGGCTGCTGCAGCGGCCATGGATGCGCTCGTGCTCGTGCCCGTGCTCGTGCTCGCATCGCCAGCGGACTCGTCAAAGTAGCGCTTGCCCGGCATCGTCGCTGGCGTCTAGCGTCCGCAGATGCGCTGGCTCGTGTCGAGAGCGATGCTCCACGTCTGCGCGGCCTGACAGTCTGCTGTGCAAAGTGAGGAATAGAGCGCGCTGATCTTCCTCGAGCTCTCGCTTTTGATCGTTGATGAAAGATGGGCCGCCTTCTGAGGGCGAGTGCTTGAAATGCCTGCTGTAGAGCTTGTTCTGACTAGCACATCCACGGACTCACAGTGTGGGCGTAGACGTGGAAGGATGGCAGGATGCCAGTTTGAATCACGAATCAGAATCGTGAATGTGCCATGCCGTGGGCCGGCCCAATAAAAGTCACGAAGGAGTGCACGGCATATATGCGCTCAGAAAACAAAAACTCAAAAGTTTGAGCTCGGGGCGGGTTGGCGTCTCTCTCGTACGAGTGATGCGCCAACAAGGGAGACATCACGTGCAAGCACGCAATTCAGAAGGTTTGTCACGCACGCACACGAGGCAGTCGAGTCCAGTGTGGATGCTTTACCGCGCAAGCGCTCACAGCTGCAGAAGGCGGGAAGATGGGAGAGGCTGCTGCTGCTGCTGGGCTGGATTGAGCACGAGCCACGCAAGTGCTTGCTTGCTTGCTTGCTTGTTTGCGTGCGTGCGTAACGCCTCGAGCTTCGAGCTTGTTCTGCATGTCACTCAAACTCACTCACTCACTCACTGCTCCTGCTGCACAGAAAGTGTGTGGCGTTAATTCAAGTCAAAGTCGCAATTCTATTCGTTCACATTAATTGTGATTGCGATCGTGATTGCGATTGCAGCGACCAACGCGTCGTCCAATGCTCGACTTGTTGCGATCATACAGCACGCATCCCCAACCCTCTGACCCATCCGTCCCACCACCACCATCAACCATCATCAGCGCACACGCCATCGCCACAAGCAACACCAACACCACCAATCATCTCATTCATTGCCCAACATGACCGGAACGCTTCGTCTTGGATCCACAGTCCCCGACTTTGCCGCCTCCACCAACAAGGGCGACTTTCAGTTCCACGACTACATCAATGGATCTTGGGCCATTCGTGAGTCAGCGTCTGTTTGCATCTCCATTGCCAGCTCAAGCGTAGCGTAGCGCTGCAATGCGCTTGCTTCAAGCTTCACAAAAGAATTCACCTCGTTGCTCCCTCACAACAGTGTTCAGCCACCCAGATGACTTTACTCCAGTGGTGCGTGCCACCTTCCTCCACCCATTGCATCTCTTCATCCGTGCTCATCCGCTCTTCGTTTGACACCATCCCTGATAACGCAGTGCACCACTGAGCTCGGAGAGGCTGCGCGCCAGCAGGGCGAGTTCGACAAGCGTGGAGTCAAGCTGATTGGTGAGTGTCTGATCTTGCGAGGAAACAAAAGAGGTGGGCGAGACGGCAAGTGCAGGCTAGGCTTGCAGGCAGTCAAGTCTCAGCACTGCAAACAAATGCCGTTTGCCCCGCCCCGCCCCGCCCCGCCCCGCCTCGCCTCTTCCACCTCTTCTGCGTGCCGTCTCTCTCTCAAATTCGGCATCATTCCACGTGACTCGATCTCAGCTGACGCCGATCCTTTGCGCGCACCATAGGTCTCTCCGCAAACGACATTGACTCGCACGACCGTTGGATCAAGGACATTACAGATGTCAGCAAGGCCAATGTGACTTTTCCCATCATCGGTGACAAGGACCGCAAAATCGCAACCACTTTTGACATGCTGGACCAGCTGGACGAGACGAACAAGGATGTCAAGGGCTTGCCATTGACTGTAAGGAGCGTATTCGTCATCAACCCCAACAAACAGATTGTCACCATTGTGAGTATGGTCCTGCTGCGAGCGTGTTACCTCTTTCTCTTTTGCGCCACACACCTCATCCTGCTCCTTTTGCTCAACTGCTTCTCCTTTTGACCCGCTCGTCCTGCTCGCCTCGCCTCACTCGGCAGATCACCTACCCCGCTTCCGTCGGCCGCAACTTTGACGAGATTCTGCGCGTCATTGACAGTCTTCAGCTGTCCGCTAGCTTGCAAGGCAAGGTCACCACGCCCGTCAATTGGCGCAAGGGAGACGACGTCATCATTGCTCCTCCCGTCAAGGATGAGGAGGCCAAGCAGCTCTTTGGAGACTTTAGAGCTGAAAAGCCTTACCTCAGGTTCACCCCTGACCCCAGCAAGAAGTGAGCGAGCGAGCGCGCGAGCGAGTGAGCACTAGCCCCAACATCGACGCACGACGGGAAAAGGTGCGCGCCGACTTGCTTCACTCGTTGGAGATTAAAAAAGAGGAGAGCAAACACGTGTGCGATTTGAAATGAAGGTTATCATAACGTGTATCTCAAATGAGCTGCTCTGCTGAGCGTGATGAATGCGGCATTGGCTTTGTGACAAGATGCTGCACGTATGTAAACGGAGCGAATGCTCCCAACGGTGACAGACGAATTGGAATCGTGTATGTGCAGGAATGCGCGTCGAGGGTCAAGCAAGCACGTGGAAGCGGGGTATGGGAAAGGATTCGAATTCGACGAGCAGGTCAAATTCAATTTGCACATCATCAGCCCTCCTTCCCATCCTGCCATTCTTCGCGTGCTGCCTCCTGCTGCGCCTCTTCTTCATCCGCATCCGCATCGAACAGCTTTCTCCTCTCTTCTGCTCGCCTCATGCTTCCGCCCGTATGCCTGGTCGAGGTCGAGGTCGAGGTGGAAGCGCGAGTCTGGACGCTGCTCAAAGTGTTCCACATGTCCATCACCGAGTTGGTGAGGGATGCGAGCGTGATGGGATTGGCTGGTCCTCGTCGGTTATTCGATGTGAAAGAGAGATGGTCCAACTCTTCCTCTTCTTCTTCTTCTGCTGCTGCTGCGGCGGCGGCGGCGGCGGCGTCGTCCTCTCCGAGCTCGGCGCGACTGCGACGCAGGCGACTCTGATCGCTAATGGCGGAGCGCGAAAGAGGAGCGTCGGGATAAGCGTGATGCCTGAGCTCACGTGAGCTTGACCGCCTTGCCGATAGAACAGAGGCGGAAGGTGGCGAAAGACTCTTGAAAAGCTCTTGCTTGCCTTTTAAAGAATTTGTAAAGAAAGCTTCGATGATTTGCAGCACGTCGAGAAGCTGTGCGGATGAGCATGCAGATGGATGACGGGCGGATCAGACGCAACAAGTAAGTGCGTCAGGGCAGGCCTCTGGAAGTGCCAAGTTTTGCCCATTGGCGCAATCCGCTGAATAACGAGCTTCTAGACTCACGTTGGTCGACTTTGGCAAAGCTACGCGTATCCGCTCTGCTGCATTCCTGTCCTTTGAGACGTGCAAGACCTGCTCGCATCTCTTTTGAGCGCAATGCAGCAGCAAGATGTTTCCACAAAGCTCATATCAGCTACAAAGCATCACCAATCCGCCTCGTGTGAGATCCTTTGCACTCCTTTTGTCCTCACCAGGGAAAGTTGTCTGGAACGTGCTTGCGCCCATCGCTCGAGTCGCTCCTGCACTTCGACGGTGAAGGGCAGATGCGAAGCTTGGTGTGCGAGGGCCAACAGCATAGCTTCCTGCACCTGATCTACAAAAGGAAAGTGGGCAAAGATGCAGTAGTGTGAGCGAATGAAGCAAAACGGCCATGAAGCTAGTCTAGCACCCGGTTCGGATGACTTACCAAGATCGGCATGTTCAAGCAGCCCAACCAATGCCTCGCAAGCCTGATGGCCTGTCGAGGCGTGCGCGACGGACAGCGAGGCACACATGAATGCCCCGCTTGCAAAAGAGGACAGTTGCGTATCGGCAAAGGTGACCTCAATAAGGCGAGCTGATATGCTTCTGCGAACATCCGCGGTTCGGCCTATCAAGGCCTTGCAGAAAGCTTCTGCCAGCTCGTAATGTGGGCGCATGAGAGTTGACAGGGATGCTGAAGCTGCTTGTAACCATCGAAGTGTCTCCAGTGTGGTTGCAACAAAGACGTCGCTATCGTTCGCGCTTGCGTCTGAACGACTGGTGGATAGAATGACAGAAGACACTTCGACACTTCGCAGGGCCAGAAGCTTGGCAGTCGGCGCATCCGTCGCAGTCTTCAAGGCTTCCAGTATGCCCTTTTGATGTTGTATCATGATGGTGGTATCAATCTGATGTAGGAGACGGAGCGTCTAGAAGCGGCAGGCAGCATCGTAAGTCTAGCTCACAATTGTATGGTGAGCGTATTCAGACCCGATGCTCGGACTTTCCTCAAATTCCACGCCACTCACGAGTTGCCTGATTGTTTGATCCAAATCGCTCAAGCCGCTCAGCAAAGCTTCCCATTCCTTTTCGCCCTGAACCAGAGGACTGCCGCCTCCATCTTGCCACTTCAAAGGTAGCAAGGCTTCCAAACACCTCAAGGCCAGAGCTCGCAAGTTGGGTGTTCTGGATCGAAGATGGGAGCTGATGGTGCTGCCAATTGAGTTCCAGAGCTGCGCCTCAGTCTCTGAGCTTGGTTCAGGTCTGTATGCCGCTCCCAAAGTCTGCGCAGCGGCAAGTAGAAGTGCGAGCGCAGATCCACCTTTCGATTCGGCGGATGTGGTTGCGATTGGGAGTGTGGTCACGTAGATTGATCGTCGAACGTCGTCCGAAAGTGTCCGCTCGCAGCATAACTTCAAGCTTTCTAGCGCTGCTATACTCAAGGCGAGCGATATCGCGTACCCATGCCGTTGCAGACAGCTCAATAGGAGCGCTGCGGCCTCTTCCGCCTCGATGAACCTTTCCAGCAGCATCGCCTTCACTCCCTTGACTGCGGCTCTTCGCACGGACAAGAGCGCATGAGACGCCGGCCTGTCTCGTCGAGAACTTGACGCGCTCGCAATCAAATCGTCTTCGCCCGAGCGGGACAGTTCACCTCCTGAGTGCGCTGGCAGCGCTTGCTTGATCAGCGCCCACAGTGCCCTTTTCTGGCCTTCGTCCGCATCCGCAGCCAGCGCGATCAGCGCATTGATCGCCTTGGCCCGTTCCTTCTGATCTTTGTTGCTAGCGTCTGCAATAGCTAGCAATGGGCCCCAAAGAGATGTGACGGCATTAGGCCCACGTATCGTCCGGCCGCATATGGAGGCCAGAACAGCGTTTCTTCGCGCCGTCAAGAGTGAGGCTCTAAGTCTTTGGGCGCTGGGGCCGGTGCTGGGGGCAGCGTGCTGACGTCCTTTACCTTTGGGTCCGACTATAGTCGCGCGAGCTGTGTTGAGCAGCAACAGTACTTGGTCCGGCACTGTCTCTTCTTGAGATTGCAGGACGGAGCCCGAAGGGGCAGACTGTCCGAGTGAGCGCTGCAGCAGCGACGCTGGTCGCAGTACATGGTCGAGTATTGCATGCGCGATGACCGTCTCCCGCACGCTCGTGTCGGATGCAGACAGCTGCAAAGCGGGAACCAATAGCCAATCGATGGGCGAAGAAGCGCTCAGCAGATCTGGTCTGAGCTGTGCAATGTGCAACACGTTGAGAAGCTGGGCGGGCAGATCTGACTGCGCATACAGGCAGCAAACGGTGAGCCACAGTCTCGGAAAGCAGCACATTCCAGTCGTGAGTGTGACTGCAGCGATTCTGACTCACGAAGCTTGCCGCCCACGTGCTGGAAGAGCGTTGTGATGTTGCTGCTCGAGCGTTGAGCAAAGCGTGCAGGATGATGTCCTCTGCTTCTGCTTCGTTCTTTGCCGTTTCAAGCGCCTTGATAAAGGCAAAGTGGACCCGAGGAGCGCCCGCTTCGAGCAAGGTGACGTCTTCCATGCTCGTCACTCGTGACTAATGATGCGGACTCGCGCGCAGGCTGCAAGAATTGGTGTGGGACAAATGATTCATGATTGCCCAGAGGGGGTTGCGCTCGTCAGAGGTGAGACGCAGGACAGGCGATACCGGCACTGGTACCGGTAAGTGCAACAATTGTCTGGGGACCGAGTTTCATGACACCTTCACGCAGGTTTCCGCTGCTGTGGAGTCATCTAAGTCTGCACAGAACGGACGGTCACGTGCTCGCACTTCGCCAGCTGCACCGCGTTCTGTGTCAATTTACGCGTCGAACGAATGGACGCGTCTTGACGCGTCTCCGTCTCTGGTCTTGGTCCCTCCCTTCAGCAGCGCGCCTGCATGGTCAGCGCAAGTGGGTGGGGTGAGGCTGGGTGCTACCCGCAGACGGGGTGCGCTCACACGCCTCTGCGAGGCAATAGAACACTCACAACTCGAGCGTGCAACCCCTCCGCCTCACTGCCTTGCTTCGGCATCCCTTCCACCATCTCGTCCTAGCATACCGACAGCGAGCCACCTACCCGACAGTGTACCAATCTTGATACATCATGGACATGCCATCATCTTCCGGAGGGCCCTCCTCCCCGCTGGCCCGAGTCGGCGGTGCAGAGTCCCGCCAACTTTTCGACCCGCTTGCATTCGACGCTGGTCAGCAGAATGGCGGTGCTAATGCCAATGGCTTCTCGATTGGTCGCGATGGTCGATCCGCCTCTTCTGCGTTTGCGGGCGACGATGACGCCATGTCTGCGATGAACAATGGCTCTGCTGCTCGACGCGTCAACGGCGAATCGTTGGACTATGAAGAGACGCCCGCTCCCAACAGGAACGCCAGACCGAATCTTAGGCAAGAGGATGACGCCCCTCCCGTCACTGACGAGACTGGCGAGCGAGTGCGGGAAGGCTTTGCAGACTTTCTGGAGACGTGAGTGGTTGGCACATGCGCTCGTGTGTCTGCGTCCATATCCCGCTCATCTTTGTTTCTTCCACCACCTCGCACAGCTACGTCGACAACACTCTCGCCGACGTCACTCCCATCAATGGTCAGCAGCCACCGACCTACGTCGAGCAGCTCTTTGCCCTCAAGGACTACAACCGCACGACGCTCTTCGTGGACTTCACTCACGTGCTTAGACATGAAGAGGTCTTGGCCAAGGCCATCAGCGACCAATACTATCGGTGAGCTTTGACTTTGAGGATGTATTGAATTGATCGGCATTCGAATTTGGCTTACCGGATTTGCGCGATCCACGCAGCTTCCTGCCGTACCTCAGACGTGCGCTGCTCGATCTCGTCAGCGCATACATCCCGACATACCTGTACCTCAACTCTCACGCAGCTTCGACAGCCTCTTCCGGTCTTGTCCCCCGCGACTTCTCCATCTCCTTCTACAATCTCCACTTGACCATGGGTATCCGAGACCTTCGCACAGACAAAGTCGGTCGTCTTTTGTCCATTTCTGGCACCGTCACTCGCACCTCCGAAGTTCGGCCCGAGCTACTCTACGGCGCGTTCACGTGTAGGAGCTGCAGAGCGCAGGTACGGGATGTCGAGCAGCAGTTCAAGTACACTGAGCCTCCGCTTTGCAAGAGTCCAAATTGCGCCAACAGAAAGGACTGGCAGCTCGACGTCGACCAAAGCAGATTCACCGATTGGCAAAAAGTTCGCATTCAAGAGAATGCCAACGAGATTCCAACTGGCTCTATGCCCCGATCGTGAGTCGCTATCAAGTATGCCTATCGCTCCCAAAGTGCAGCGCTGACGCCCCCCCTATGTAGCCTCGACGTCATACTGCGAGGAGAGATTGTCGAACGGGCCAAGGCCGGTGACAAGTGCACCTTCACTGGATCCTTCATCGTCGTGCCAGATGTATCTCAGCTGGGCGTTCCAGGTGTCAACGCGCAAATGCAGCGCGAGAGCCGAGGCAGAGCACAAGAAGGCGTTGCTAATCAGGGCATCACCGGTTTGAAGAGCCTCGGAGTGCGAGACCTGACGTACAAGACAGCCTTCCTGGCCTGCATGGTCCAGAGCGGCGAAGAGCGGAAGGGCGGAGACGTCCGCGAGGAGGGCGAAGAGGCCGATCCTGAAAGGCTTATGGACACGCTCACTAACGCTGAGCGCGACGAGCTCGAAGCTATGGTCACTGCCGACAACATTTACGGACGCCTCGTCCAGAGCATCGCGCCGACCGTCTATGGTGAGCTAAAAGCAGCACTGTCGCTTCGAGGTTGGAAGCTGACATAGCCAAGTTGGTTACTCGTAGGTCATGACATCGTCAAGAAGGGTATCCTTCTGCAGCTCATGGGTGGTGTGCACAAGCAGACGCAAGAAGGTATCCATCTGCGAGGAGATATCAATATCTGCATCGTCGGCGATCCTTCGACGAGCAAGTCCCAATTCCTCAAGTGAGTGGAGCTTGCGAGGCGTCCGCGTTTCGATTCCCTCGCTGACTAAATGACCGTCCATAGATACGTATGCGGCTTCCTGCCTCGTGCTGTATACACGTCAGGTAAAGCGTCGTCTGCTGCTGGTTTGACGGCTGCCGTCGTCAAGGACGAAGAGACTGGAGAGTTCACAATCGAAGCCGGAGCTCTCATGCTCGCTGATAATGGGATCTGCGCCATTGACGAGTTCGACAAGATGGACGTGAGCGATCAAGTAGCCATCCACGAAGCTATGGAACAGCAGACAATCTCCATCGCCAAGGCCGGACTACAAGCCACTCTCAACGCTCGCACTTCGATTTTGGCCGCAGCTAATCCGGTCGGCGGACGCTACAACCGCAAGATGACACTGAGAGCAAATGTCGCAATGTCTGCGCCGATTATGAGTCGTTTCGATCTCTTCTTTGTTGTGCTGGACGAATGCAACGAGGCTACGGATCTCAACATTGCACAGCACATCATCAATGTACACCGCTTCCGTGACGCAGCAATCACTCCAGAATTCAGCACCGAGGCTATTCAGCGTTACATTCGTTTCGCCAGAACCTTCCAGCCAAAGCTGACCCCGGAAGCAAGCGACGTTCTAGTGGAGAAATACAGACAGCTGAGGCAGGATGACGCGGGAGCTGGTAAGAACTCTTACCGGATCACGGTCCGCCAATTGGAGAGTATGATTCGACTTTCCGAAGCTATCGCCAGGGCGCACTGCAGGCAAGAGATCACGCCCGCATTTGTCAGGGAAGCGTACGCCTTGCTCCGACAGTCCATCATCCATGTTGAGAAGGACGACGTGGACTTTGACGATGATTTGGAAGCCGACGAGGCGCGTGCTCCTGCGGCGGCTGGACAATCCACCACGGAAGCTACATCGAGCCTCGGCGGCCTCGGAGAGTCTATGGAGGTGGATGCTGATGGAGCCGCATCGACCGCAGCCGAAAACACGAGGTCATCTACGGCGCCCGCACCCACGCAGAGGTCCAAGCTGAGAATCACGTTCGACAAGTACAACGAGATGTTGAATCTTTTGGTTTTGCGCGTTGCTGAAGTCGAGTCGATCCCTGGATCTGATGGAGCAAAGAGATCAGAAGTCGTCGAATGGTACTTGGAACAGCGGGAGAGCGAGATCGAGACGGTGGAACAGCTGAATGAGGAGAGGACGCTGGTGACCAAGGTGCTGGCTCGTCTGGTTAGGGACCAATACCTGCTGGAAATTAGAGGACCGCAGCCTGGAGACGATGACGAAGAGAGCTTGCCCGCGCAAGCTGACGGCTCGGCCAGCACGGCAACTCAGGAAGATCCTCTGCTCCTCACACACCCTAGAATCGACATCGAGAGCTTGGAAAACTCCATTGCGTAGAAGGGGCCGTCGGACAGTTCTTCTGTCCACCACTTCCCTTCCTGCCCTGCTCCAACGCTACAGATCTGTATGTATCCTGCTTGCCTCTTTTGCGTGTTACGAGCCTCGCCAAAACGAATTGAGATGCGCTGATGTGAGAGTTCTGCATCGATTGCATCTTATACCCTTGAGCATTTGAGCTGCTAGCATGTCATGCTTCACATCAGCGATGCGAGCTCGATTCACACTGCTGACTGGCATGTTGAAGCTGTCGAATGCTTCATTCTTGATTGAGACTAGGCTGTCGACGGTCGCAATCGCTTAGGCACGTGCGCATTTACGCATCTACGCAGAAGTTTGATCCGGCTGGCGGGGAATTTCAATCAGCAGAGAAGAGGCGCGCGGGAAAATTGTAGTTGAAGCTTTCTTAATGTGAAGCGTGAGCACAACTTTACCTATTGTTCAAGATTATGAATTTGTGTCATAATCACCCATCGAGAATCAAGAATGAAGTCTTGAGTTAAGAGTGAAGGAGGCACACGACAAATGCTGGAAGCGCCGTATGATGTTTCGTGAAGGTGCCGTCATGGTGCACAGCTGCCGATTTGATTCACATTTACATTCATTCTGATCCACACGCATTTCTTCTCAGATATCGTCTTCTTGATCGGCGACGGGCCCTCGTACAGGTACATTCATTGAGTGCAAGGCTGACTCGAACTCAGGCACTACTTCGTCGTCGATACTCGCCCTTGTGTGAGCCTAACTTTCTCTCGGAGCCAGCTTCCAGGTCTCGGCTTCAAGATGGAGGCCGCAGCGCCGTCGTCGCCGCTCGCATCACCGGCAGCTCAACAGACTGCCGCATTCATTCCCACCATGGATTCGCACGAGGAGGCCACGACGAGCAACAGCGTTATTCCACCCACAGAAGCTGCGAACGGCGGCACGGCGGCACGCCCAACGTCAGCCGATGTTTCAAGTAGCACAGGCACAGCTTTGACGAGTGCTAGTTTGCACGCTCACTCTCCATCGCAGGCGAGTAGACATGAAAAGATCATACTGCTCGGTGTTGCGGCGAGGGATAGAAAGGCGAGGAGCAAGCCCATGAGCCAGATTCTCAATCGTATCATCAGCAACAAGGACATCGCTTGCCAGATTGTAAACTTCGGTGACAAGGTGAGTGAACGGGTGATGGGAACAGGGCGGAATGTGATAAGTCGACTTTCCACGCAGCTCGGCTTTGAGGCAGCGCCTCTTCGAAAGAGCGAATGTATGCGGTGATGAACGAAGATGAAGCCAATTGTACGATGTCCTCGCAGAGACAGCTGATCGCTAGCTTGTATGCGCTCTCCTCCTTCTCCTCCTCTTTAGGTGTTGCTGGACGAGCCGCCCGAGTCATGGCCAGTGGTGGATGTACTCATCTCCTTCTTCTCGGATGGCTTCCCTCTGGACAAAGCGATAGCATATGCCGATCTGCGCAAGCCAGTACTAGTCAATGATCTGCGGTTCCAGGCTGTGCTGTGGGATCGGCGCGCAGTGCTGGCCATACTGGACTCTGCAGGCGTTCCGACACCCAGACGTTTGGAGGCGGACAAGGACGGAGGACCAGTGTTGGACAACAAGGTGTTGGATGATGTCAAGAAGCGGCTCGGGCTTGACTTCAGAAAGAGACCAGTCAAACATGCGCGCTTGAAGGAGGGCGATGTAGACACGCTGATCGTGGGCGATCAAGAGATTAGTAAACCTTTCGTGGAGAAACCGGTCAGCGGTGAGGATCATAATGTGCACATTTACTTTCACTCCAGCAAAGGCGGTGGCGGCAGGAGGCTTTTCAGAAAGGTGAGTTCAGTAGCGCTGGAGAATCGTGGCCGCTGCATTTACTGATTCGGTCCTTACGTGGCACCAGGTTGGCAACAAATCTTCAGAGTACGATCCCAACCTCGTACAACCGCGCACAGACGGCTCGTACATCTACGAAGAGTTCATGGATGTGGACAACGCCGAGGACGTCAAAGGTCTGTGCGAGATTCGTGTCTCGGTACGCATGCCTTCTGACACTTTCGCTTGCTCGCATACAGTGTACACCATCGGGCCTTACTTTGTGCACGCCGAGACCAGAAAGTCGCCCGTGGTTGACGGCTTGGTGAAGCGCAATCCGGATGGCAAGGAGATTCGCTACATTACCAAACTTACAGAAGCCGAGGTGAAGATGGCAACCAACATCTCCAAGGCATTCAAGCAGAATATTTGCGGCTTTGATCTGCTTCGCGTGGGAGACAAGAGCTACGTCATCGATGTGAATGGCTGGAGCTTCGTCAAGGGAAACGACTTCTACTACGGTGAGCGCGTAAAGCTCCTCAAACACGCCGTCGGATTTTCAGTGCTGACTTTGCTCCTTGCTTTCTGGCTCCGACTGGAAACAGAGAAGGTAAGTCTTCGCGTGCCCCGCTTTTCCTCTAAATACGCCTTCGACTGACTCAATTAAGAACCCTCGCAGTGCGCCTCGATCCTAGCTAGCTTTTGCAAAATGAGCGCGCCCAGACGCTCCGCCAGCCTGGCAAGCAGCAGCTCGAGTGTAGGATCTGCAATCGACGGTCGTGAAGCGGAACAATCAAGCTGGACCTTGAAGAGCAGTGCAACCGTCTTTCGGCACGGTGATCGTACGCCCAAGCAGAAGCTCAAGCGGTCGTTCAAGCCCAAAGATGCATGGGCCGCCCCTCTCCTGGCCCTCCTGCAAGGGCGCAAGGAAGAGATTATCCTCCGATCGAATCTGGACATGGTCTCCAAGGCTGCGGCCGAAGCTATGCAGCTTCCTGGAGCCAAAAAACATGATCTGACTTTGGTCATTGGAGCGATAGAAAGAAAACAGGATTTGCCCGGCACCAAGGTGCAAATGAAGCCGAGCTTTGACACGGATGGCAATCTCGAGAAGATGCAGCTCATCATCAAGTGGGGAGGAGAAGTGAGTAGCTGCGCTCTCTAAAGTGCTGTACTAAGCTAAAATTCGTGCTCTGGGCGCCCGGGCGTAGTTCTCGCATGCGGCTCGACATCAAGCACGGGATGTGAGTGCGACGTGGAAGGAACTTGGGGCGCTCTGAATGACGCTCCTGACTGACCTTGTTCGGTACCGGCTCGTCAATCACCAGCTCGGCTCAAATCTGCGCCGCGATATGATAGTGCAGAACGCAAACGCGTTGAGAAACTGCACCATCTACACCAGTAGCGAGCGCAGGGTCACCGCTTCTGCAGAGACCTTTGCTTCTTACTTTTTGGATGAGCCAGAAGACCCGCAGAAGAACCCGTTACAGCTCGTGATTCGCAAAGGTGAGTCGGCAGAGAGGGGTCTGTGGCCTCTAGCGACGAGCGATGTGAGGATTTGAACTGTAAACACCTGGCCTCCCCAGACCTCTTGGACGATTCTAACGCTTCGAAGACCGAAATGGACGTCGTCAAGAAGCAGTTGAAAGCAGTACTCAAACCGGACGGCGCGCCAAGACCTTCAGACTGGCCCGAAGATGCACCCTCACCGCCTGAGCTCTGCCAACAGATAGCACAGACACTCAAGAGTTTGCAAACTACCATGCTGGAAAACTACGAAAGAATGGACGTGAACTCGATCAGCAGGAAATGGTGTACTGCAGAATCGCCCGAGCTTTTTAGAGAGAGATGGGCCAAGCTTTTTGCGGACTACGAGGTGAGCCAGAGCGCGCACAGTGGACCCGAGACTGCTGCATGCTTTGATCTCAACAAGTTGGTGTCATGCCTCAGGACGATCCCTACGATCCGTCGAGAGCCAGCGAGCTCTACGACATGCTCACTCATGACGGTGAGGCGAATATGCAGAATGTACCGCTTTTTCTCTTGCCGCTGACACAGCAAGAACTACCACGCACTCTGCGCGACTTTAGGTCTGCACAATAGGACATTCGTAGAGACCATCTTTGCCGCGCCCGACGTGCCTCAAGAGAAGCGATTGGACAGACTTCACGAGCTGTACCGACTGAGCTCCACATTGTTCTCATGGACTTGGTAAGTCGCGAGTCCATTCTGGTTCTTCTTTGTGAAGGGGCGTTGCTGATTGCTCAAACGCGACGGTTGATGCAGTCCGGCCGAGTACGGCGTGACTTCAGAGCAAAAGGTGTGCTTTCGCCAAGTCTGGGCCTGATGTGCCGCAGCTCAAGCTGATAGGTCTTTATCGATGCACACAGGAATCAATCGGAGTCCTCACGTCGATGCCGCTGCTTATGCACATTATTGCTGACCTGAAGGCGGCGGAAAGCAAGCCTCTCTGCGCGCTCTACTTTACAAAGGTATGCGTGCTACGAGCGGATGCCGGACTGTTGGTTTTCGATTGGTTCTTTCCCCTCTGACGCAGACTTTCTGATCCATCCCAGGAATCGCACATGCACACTCTTCTGAACCTGATCCTCGCTTCGGACTTGCCAATCTTGACCAACAAAAGACCACCTCTAGACTATCTTAGCTGCATTGCTTTCGAAGTGTACGAAAAGACGACGACCACGGGGACTGCAGCAAACAGCCCTCGGCCTAGCTCTGGCGATGGCAGCAGCAACAGTAACAGCAGCCACGGAGCTGCTCCAGGTGGTTCTAGCGGTAACAGTTCGGCGCCTATGACTCCTAATCCTAGCAACACGCCGCCGACGCCACCGGAAAGATCGCTGCTGATCAGTGTTTCTCCCGGTGCGCATTCGAGCGAACCTTTCTTCATCAAGCTGGACGCTAGACATTCTTTGAGTCCTCTGCCCAGGCAGCCTCTCACTAGGCACATGCCTCTAGATGAAGGCATCGCTGCGCTCAGCAATCACAAAGCTGTCGAAGCCAATCGGTGCGCACCACATCTTGGCGTCGGATCTCTCACCAGACTTGACGCATGACTGACCATTGACCTCTCTGTCTCATTTTGGCAAACGCAGCGGACAGGTTGAAGGAGAGACCGTCTTCTCCGGACTGCCTCATACCGAAAGAGGACTGCTTCATATCAAAAGAAGAGGTAGCGATGTGTCTAGCCGAGCCAGCGTGGCGGGTTGATGTCCGCAGCGTATCCTTGTATCTGGACCTGAAATATCATAGGAATGGAAATCGGCTTGCACCATTGTTTTTATAGTCCTTGGAGCATCATACGCTACCCTTCGCTGTTGATTTGAGATTTGTGCGCGCAAAATCGAAATGGAATCCAGCAGCTGAAGCACTCAAGGGTGGATTCGCAGTCGGCGACGTCGAGCAAGGCAACAAAACAAACACGGCTGAACATCGACTGACGTCTGGACTTCTCAGCCGTGATCACGACGCAGCTTCAAGAATCTCTGAATTTGCTTGAGCTGAAGTGAGGGCGCTTGCACCTGACTGGTGACTCACGACTCTTGACATTTGCTGCTGATGATGTCGGTCGCCTTCCCGTGGGCGTGGCCGAACTTGAAGTCAGTGGATGCAGTCACGTGCTCGGGCCGCGCGTCGCGCACCGACCATGCTCTGGCAAACTACCAGCTCGCATGAGCGCGTCAACTCCCATCCCTGGACTCCATCCGAGCTCTCGAGGACACTCCGGAGTCGTGCCTCTGCTGCCCACCATCTCACATGCTCGATACATCGCTCAGACTCGGGCCAAAGGATACTCCTGGCCTCAACAAAACGATCCGTCTTGCGCGAAGCCAAAGCGTCGGTTCCATCAGGCCAAGGTTCGAATCAATTTGACTCTTGACTCTCGCGCTGCTCCCTCCCGCGAGGTCGACCAGACACACTGAAAGCTATACCGGGATCTGATACGGCAGCATGGCAGGTGTTGGACAGACCTGGTCGTCGCAACCATATGTTGACCATATCAGTGCTCCGCCTCAAGGGCATGCGGCAGACGCATTCGAGGATGCCAGACAGAGGACGCAGTGAGTAAGCGTGTGTAAAGGCAGAGACGAGGGGCGAAGGGGCGGGGTTGTGTGGAAGGAATTACATAGGCGACCTACCAAGCGTATACATGTCCACTGACTCAAATCATCGGCCTGCTGCATCACGCTCAGACAACCTATCGTGACCGGTACATCCATCCTCGGCATCAAGTGGTCAGGAGGAGTGATGCTCGCATCGGACACTCTAGCTTCTTACGGCTCCCTCGCTAGGTTCATGGATATTCGTAGACTCGTAGAGGTCAAGGAGAGCAAGGCTATCATTGGCGCTAGCGGCGATATGGCGGATTTCCAGTACATTCTGCACGAGATTGAAAAGACTGGGTGAGTCGAGGTCAGCTCGACCAGTGTCCCCCACTTCTTTGACTGATCCAGCTTTCACTTGCTCCACGTTGCTACAGACTTCGTGAATCGACAGCAGGAGACTCGCACAATCTGACTCCCTCGCAGCTCTACGCTTGGCTCACGAGGCTGATGTATGCTCGTCGAAGCAAGATCGATCCGCTTTGGAACAGTCTGGTAGTGGGTGGACTGGAACCGAGCACTGGCGCTCCTTTCCTCGGATACGTCGACCTTCTCGGTGTGACCTACACAGCCAGCACCATTGCTACTGGATTTGGTGCGCATCTGGCACAACCTCTACTCAGGAAGGCTGTGGAAGGAAGAGAGTCCACCTTGGACGAGGCTGAAGCCAGGAGCATGTTGGAGAGCTGCATGAAGGTCCTTTGTGAGTGACTTAGCCCGAAGACGAGATGAATCTGCACGTGTGTTGAATTGTCCTGACTCTCACCTCCTTTGGATCTCTCACGGCAGTCTATCGTGATGCCAGATCTCTCAACCGCGTAAGTGGGAGACGCAAATGATTCAAGTTCTGTTCATCGCAAGCGTCCTTTCGTCTTCTCTTACCTCTCCACCCCGACCCTTCGCTCAGTTTCAAATTGCCACAGTGACCAAGGAAGGTGTACACATCGGAGAACCCAAGAGTGTCGAGACGGACTGGAGCTTTGCCGAGGGCCTTAGAGGCTATGGTCCCCAAACTCAGTGATCGCGCGCTCTAAAGAAGCACTATGCGCTTATGAGATGGTTTGATATCATGCGCAAACAGTCCGAAGCAAGACACCCCGCCCAGCGAACCTGACGAGTCGGCGTGATTGCTTAGGCTCGGATGAGATCAATAGCCAGCCCTGAGAAGGGTCAGCTCATTCGATTGATTGCATCAAAAGGACCAGTGTGAGAGTTCAGGTACATTGTGATAAGGTGATATAGATCCGAGGCGTGAAGAAAAGAGGTAAAAGAAGATGGTTGGATATGGAGATATGTTGGGGACGTGTGTGTAGATCTATGATGTGGTCGCTTTGATCGGAGTCGAGGCGTCGCGGCAATATGTATGTACGGACAGTCAGAGTGGTGCGCGGTGTAGATGAAGCAGGTGTGGCTTTTGGCGCACTGAAGCGATCAGACTCGTGGAGCGGTAGAGTCAGAGGACCGTCTGGCGTCGACTTGTGCTCCAAGCCCTGAATCTTCGGAGTGAGGAGCAGCTCGAGGGCCTGTTCCAGCGACATTCCCGTACGCATAGCCGCTTTCGCCGACTTCTTCCTTGCCAGTATGATCCGTTCTGTCCTTGATGGGTCTCCTCTTGCTCGGCAGCAAAGCGGAACAGAGGTCCCACAGAGTGACAAGGAATAGGAAGATGATCGGCAGACCAGTAATGACGAGGACGACAAAGCCTACAATGACTCTGGGAATCGTTTGCACATTTGCTTCTTCCGTCAACGCGATGCAAGCTGCCCACGTCAACACTCGCAACAGCGTAGTGATGACGTAGAACCAGTCCGACTTTTTGTCCCTTCCCGGTCTCAGGATGAGCAACAGAATCAGGAAGATGAGCTCCCAGGCTAGCAGTCCAGCTGCTTGCCGAAGGCCGTGACCTTGAGCAAAGACGATGAAGCAGGCTCGCACCATGGACCACAGCACAAAGGCAAAGGCGAACCAATAGAACTTTGGTCGGTAAGGATGAGCTGTGTGACCCCAGCGTTTGGCGATCAAGGTGCCCTTTTCTGGTGGTTCGCCCTTAGCAAAGTAGAGGTCGTCGGCGCTGCCACGTCTCGCGTACTTGATCATTGGCACCAAGAAAACTGCGCCGACGATCAGGAAGAGCCCAAATACCAGACCAGCGACCAGGTGAGGTGGCCACGAGCTTCCGTAGTCCCATTGGTAGAATGAAAAGATGGTGAGAATGGGAAAGACGATGAGAAAGTATCGCGAGAGCATGGAGAGCGTCACGACGCCCAAGAACTCCCTGGGCCTGGTGATCCTGTGAGACCAATGCGAGACCGCGGATTTGCCGTTGCGGTTCGTGAGCATCCTGGCAACCAGCGCGACGATGTACAGCACGATCAACGCGCCGATCAGAATAGCCAAGAGGATAGCAGCAGACACGAGCACAGTAAGGTACGCGTTGCCAGGCGCTACGTTTTGACGCTCCGCAAAACGACCCAGATCTCCGCTGGTGGTGTTGCCACCGACGACCTGCAGCTGCACGCTGTTTGAGTTGGTAATTGGAAATCCGTTTGGACCGGTGTTGGGCGCATATTGATCCCGCTTCATCAAGCCGGTTCCCGCTTCGACAAGCTTTTGTCCAAGGATTTCGACGTGCGAGCTGATTGGTTTCAATGTCAACGAATCATCTAGCCTGCGCCGCAGTCCGATGCCGCCCAGGATCGACCGTCCGAGCCCACCGCCATCGCTGCCGCCGGACTGAGGAGTGCTGCCGCTGAAAGGATTGTACTTTCTGCCGACCTGGGCAGTCAACGCTGCTCCAAATGTGCCCGAGCTGTAATCCCCATATCGCTGCCTCGTATTTGTGATGGATTGCTGCAGCGATGAGATGTTGACCAGACCAATGGCCCACGCAAAATTGGAGCCGTACTTGAGAAAGACGATGGGATAGTTGAGCGAGAGCAACGAGGTGACTGCAGGGTGTTGGATGACCATCATCACATCCACTATTCTCCATTGCGCAGCACCAACGCTCTGAGCCATTGCGGTGTGAAGCAAGCAGCTAAAGAGCGCTAAAAGTGCGAATCCGACAGTCGCCCATAGAACGGCAGGCTGGCGTGCAGTATGACCGTTGGAGAGCGTCGCCTGAACGCAGCCTACAACAGAGTTGCTGCTCGTGTCCGTCAGCTCCAGCGTGGCCACTGCCTCGAGATCCGGAATGGTATATGCGATCGTCGGAATGTTCAAGTTGAATTGATCGGGTATGGGAAAGACTCCACCTCCGCTGAATTGATATCGAGGCAAGGGACACAAGAACGATCCTCCCAAGTCGCAGAGATTGAGGTTGGCATTGAATACACCCAGTCCGTATGCATTCACCGTCAAGGCGATGCTGACATTCAAGTCGTCCTGTGTGGACGCAGCTGCGATGTTAAACTCGAGTGTGCGATTGTCGGGAAAAAAGGAAAGCTGCAGATCGGTTACGAGAATGGCGATCGGATCGCTGCAGTACGCAACGGATGAGGTGTCTGCACAGCGCGTGAAGCGGCAAAACGAGGCAGCGGTCAGTATCGGACGCCTTCTGGAATTTCAGGTCCGTTTGAGGGAAAGAAATCACCGTAGCACCGCGCTGATCACTCACAAAGCTCTCGCGCTCCTCCAATTCCCTTGGCATCCACAACGTTCGTCGCTGCACCCGCAAGGATGGCCAATGAGGCTGCGCTCCTCAACCAGCCTCCTCGGCGCCTTCTCCTGGAAGTCCGAGAAGGGGATTGAATGGTCTCTCGAGGACTGGCATCATTTTCCCCTGCTTTCCTCATCTCCTCATCAAAACTTGTGCAGCTCCGTGAAGAATCGACTTGGTTTTTCGAAACCATGGAGCACTCTCTTTGAGCGGCCTCCCCCATACTGATGGCTGGCGAGTACAGCGAGGAAGCTGACAATCGCATGGTGTTGAGACGCTCTCCCGCTCACGAGAGCCAAAGCGATTGAGGTCAAAGCAATGCCGAGGAAGACGACGCTTCTTGAAGATGTGACGGAACGTCGAAGCACGGAAAAAAGGGTGGACAGGTTCAAGGTGTAGAAGATCGCGATTCAATCGAGTAATTAACGTTCTGAACTCTCGCAGCTAGGCCTGCTGGCAGCTCGCCAACGATCACCAAATCTGACTTGAGGCACCTGCATTGGGCTCCCCTTTGGGCCGCTGCTTTCTTGAAGCAGACGGCTTGATCGGCTCCATTTCTTTGTGAGCTGCAAGCTATCCAACGTGCTGCCGCCTGACTTTTTCCCTTTGACCTTTAAAAGCTGATTCGAGCCGGTGCAAGTTTCCAACACTCATCACCCACGAGTCCGACTGCAATTTCTGCGCTTCTGAAGCAGCTGTACCGGCGCCCGTGTGGATGTGCATCTCCGATGACGCATCGACGCTTGGCCCAACAGAAATGATGACACACTGATGAAGGTGAGTGTCCTGACGCCTGCTGGTGCCGTTAACTTTCAACTCGCTCTCGATTGATATTCCGCGATTCATGCAAGTCCATGCATCTGTACGCACATGCTATGCATGCATGTTACTTCGACCCGTCCGTCATCAAGCACTAACCCATCCAGTGGCTGTGTGGCTGGCTGCATCTTGCTCCACCTTGCTTTGCTTGAAGGGAGGAGTTTGATTCCTAGTCACCGAGGAGCCAAGAGCGAGCCACGAGTGCTGCTGCTGCGTGGTGCGATTGCCGAGGCACCAAAAGTCACGCCACGAAGAGAAGAGCGCAACGGACCGAGCCGGCGCTCCTCTGAGCGTCAGTGGCTTTTCATGATCCACAATTGCAAAATGTCAGGGGTGCCTCATCAAATCCACCCATGCCCTGCCAAGTTTTTCATTCTGTTCGACTTGGCAAAAGCGGGAGAGATCTTCTGTCTGGCGAGCACTTCGCTCGCGGGATGCATTTTTGTTTAGGCGGCGAAAAGAGAGCCTGTCAAACGACCGCGTTTCAGGGTCTGCGAGTTTTAGAGCCCTGAGCAGAGCTAGCTGAGCTCATCTGCGCTAGTTCGTGCAGCTTTTCGATTGGGCGGGCACATCAAAGGAGAAGAGGCAGTGTTTCACCCTGGTTCGTTCCCTCGTGCGCACTGACTCGTGACTGTCATCTCTGCACGATGTGAACGTGTTGCAATAATGAGTCTCTCCTCTGATCCTGCAGCGGTAAGCGAGGCTAAGCTGGCGAGGTGGAGGTTGAGTCATAAGGAGCCCCCCCGAACTTGCGTCTCGTGCTTATCTTGACGGGTCTGCCTCGGCAAACGCTGACATGAGCGGCGTAGGTCGCAAAGCAGTGCGCGCGAGATTGACCTTCAATTGCTCCATCGATGTTAGTAGGACACCCAAGCTCTCCAAATAACGACGCTATTTTTGGAACTCGAGTGGTGGTCTTGTCTCAGGAAGGCAGTCTCGAATCACCTATTGTCCGTGCTAGCTCGATGGCAGAAGCGCACGATCCAAATGGTCATAGCGTGGAGGACGTGGCGGACCATCCTGCGTGTTGCATCGCAGCGCTTAGATAGCTGCGCAGTAGTAGTTCCAGTTAGTGTCTCCGCACCAGCCGTGTTCAGACTTGCCTCCAAAGTCGCTCAATAAAGCTGTCACACGTCGCGCAACTGCACCGCAATCGTGAACGTATTCATCGGTCATTCAGTTTGGTCTTCTGCAACATGACGAGGGAACGCTGAGAGTTGGTGAGCGCCGTGTATGCAGAAAGTCAAGAACGGCATGAAAATCTGAATGTACGATTAGCAGCGCTGGCGCGGAGCGGCCAAACCACGCGGGACCACAGACGGACCGGGTGGTCACTTCCGCTTGTCGGTGTTTCACGAATTGGGGCTCCGCCATCGGTGGGGGTTGCCAAGCTCGTTCTTTGTGTTTGTCACTAGGCAGCAGACGATGCGTCGCACTTCTAGACGTGGTGGAGGCCACGCGTGCATCACAGACATTCATTCGCAACGAATGAGGGCTAAAGATGATATTCTATTTGATGAGATGTAATATGTGTAGCAGTGGAGCAGATTGATAGTGGCGCGAGTATGTGTGAGAGAAGGGAAGATGGCTGGACGGAAGGCTACAAAATTTTACAGTGCCGATGCCATGGCGAGCGCGACAGCCGCGATGGTGGCAAGGAGCTGCCATTTAGCAAAGGCCTGGCTCGAGATTGAGGCTGTGGAAGCAACCGTCTTATTGTCGTACTGCAAGTTTGTCGCTTGGTCCGAAACAACAGTCTGGATAACTGTGAGCAGGGCTACTCTGCCATCCTGAGCATTGCCGCCAGGTGGTGCGACATCTGGATGGTTGATACCTTCAGTGGTATCGTTTAGAAGCACGCCAGCAGGGATGTACTCGACAGTTGCGCGGTAATAGTTGCCTCCCCAAGTGGTTCCATTGGACCGCGTAGCATTGCCAACTATGATGGACGACAGTGTGAGGTTCTCTGTCCTAGAAGACATTCTGTAGGACCGGAATTACTCACCGATCTCATCTCGACCGAGATTGTAGCCATTCGCGACAATGTCGTGCTGCGTGCTCAACGGGCCTTCGAGAGATGCGCCCAAGAAGTAAGCTCCGCTGTTCGCCTCCCTGCCATCTTGTCTCCACCACCTGAAATGATTGCCACCCTGAATAGTCTCTCTGCAAGTGCCGATATACGCATCGCCATAATTCCACCTCATGACTCCATTGTCTCCATTGCCTGTACCTTGCGTCTTGTTGCCACCTCCATCACCCAAATTTGCACTCTGCTCCGTCCCGTTCGCTTGCCCCAAGCACGAGACGCCAAAGTTGATCGATCTGTAGAGCGGATGCAATAATTGCGCAGTCAGAAACGGTATGCCAAGGAACAGAAGGCGATGTCTGAAGAACCCCTCACGTTGCCCAGAGCAAGAATCCTTCTACCTGCAACACCGTCTTGGATGATTTTCCAGAGATGATGATGTTCAAGGGCTCGCCTACGTCTAAATCCGGAATAATCTGTCGTGCCAGAGAAAGAGGAGGAGGGTCAGCATGCTGAGCGAGCACGACCGGCAAAGTGGTCGGTCGCGTAATTCTAACTCTGCTCACAGTGGTCATCAATCCTCCCGTCTTGTTCAGCGGGCTGTAGTAATCCACATCGCCCCCAGGCGGCACATCTCTCCTGACGACGTTTTCAGCTGATTTGCGTGCCTGCGCTCGTCCCTCGACACTCTCTGATTGGACCTTTACGTGCTCCGAAGGATATGCTACCACCGTTGTGAGTGCAAGCAAAACCAGCAGGGCAAGAGAGAGGAGCGCCGTCCGTGCGGCAAAGAGCGACATTTTCGATTGACTCGATCAACAAGTCGTACGATGCGTCTCGCAGAGTATGAGAGGCTGGAAAAGAGATGGGATGGATGTGGGCTTCGAAGTGCCTCGGTCCTGGCCTGTCAAAAGGGAAACTAGAAGCGTTGAGTTTGTCGAGTTGAGAGCTGGGCGAATCGGACGCTATGCTTACTCCAAACTCCACCTTCTGCTTTCATTCGATTCCCTCACGCTTTCCATTCGATCATTTTCTCAACCACCCTACCGACCCTTGCTCGCACAATGTATGCCTCATGCTTTTTGTTGCCCTTTCGGACCAAAGCTACGTGATGATGCAGGCAGGCAGGCACTTCGCCCCCCGCTCTCCTCCCAAACTCCGATGCCGAGCAAAACAGTGTATGCAGCTCGCATGGAGGTGCATTCACGATTCACAGATTCACCCGTACAGCTTCGTGCTTTGCAGCCCAGACAGAGCATGGGAAGCCGAGGCGACGAGACAAAAGGTCGCCGTACTTGCACAGGGGCGAGGCGGACACCGGCATGCAGCGCCAGGAAAACGACCGACGGGCCAGATCGTTCCGTGTCAAGTCACAAGTCACGTCAGCTGCTACGTAGCCAGACAGACTCAAACTGTAGCGTGCTTAGAAGACCACGCGACACGCGACCTCGGCTCTGGACACGAAGAGCCGAGCTACGATCACACACCCGTGACCTTCATCCATGGCCTTGGCCGAGCGGAGCGGAGCGGACAATATCGAATCCTTTTGAAGAAGCTTGTGCAACCTGAATCGTGTAGGCACCGTACAGTATGCAAGTTTGTCAGGGACAGGCACTTGCCTAGGTATGTGCGGCGAGGCGAGCAAGCATGCTTCGAGCAAGGCACCTGTGGAGGTAGGAAGATGCATGCAGTGCAGTGCAGTGCAGTGCAGTGCAATCGAATCTCTCCGACAGTGGATGATGGACGAGTCTTTTGGGTGTAATCGGTGGACTGCAAGAGCGACAAAGGACGAGAGAGTCAAGGAGCGAAGCACCTTTGAGTGACTCCCCTCCCCCTTCGTGCGTCATGGTGGAGCATAATCTCCCTACATCTCCGCTTCATGACAAGACAAGACGACGAGATCGCATCTGCGCTGCTTCGTCATCGACAAACACCAAAGTCGATGCGATAGAAAGCTTCTCATGCTTGATTGAAGCCAAGGATGACAAGATCAACCAACGCACTGTATTGATCCGTCTGGGAATCATCGACCATTTTCACCGCAATGAATGCATTGTTGCGCCCATCCAATCGCGCGCAAGAAGCGTGCCTGCGCGCGCTTACTGAATGGTCTGCTAGCGTCGGTCGACGAAGCAGACTGTCATCTTCCCAGCTCCACAACTCCACAAGGGCAATGCATCACACCGCCAAGAATCGCGTGACTATGCATTGCTGTGGAGATCTGCCTTTGATGCTACACCGCTCACGTATTCGCGAGCTAGAAGTCCATCGAGGAGCTGTGCGAGCAACATCTCGCAAGCCCCAAAAGTCTCTGCGAGCGCATTTCTCTCTATACGATGCTCTCCAACTCTTTTGCGAATTGCAAATTGGAGATGATCGTCGCCTTCTTTGGAATGGCATCCCTTCCCTGATTCGCAAGCGCATTGGCCTTGTTGATGAAATGCACAGTTTGCGTGGTAGGATTGATTTGCCAGCCTCTCTGTGAACGTTGGCGAAAGACGAGAGCGAGGGGTGGATTCAGCATGAAGCTATCTCAGATGCAATGCTCGATCATCAAACGCACCTCGTTGGCGAACGAGCTGACGTCGTGCATATTGTCGAAGAAGAGCAGCGTGGCTGCATCTGCGAGCGGCAAGCTGTCGTACGCCTTCTCCTCGCACGAGGCGATCTCGTGTCTGAGCGGGGCGTGCAAGACGTCAAGATGCTGGCGCGCAAGCTACACGCCTTGTCCACCATGCCGCATACACACCTGATCGTGCCCATCAAGCCCTCTACAAAGAATGCATACTCTTTCTGAGGAGCTTGTTGCCTAGCCCTCCATACTTTAGAATAGCTGCCTTCCATCAACCATCTTTCCAAATCGATGGGATGTTGAATGTACTCTGATTTAGCCACCAACTCTGGTGGAAGCGTTTCGAGCGCAGTGTGGAATGCTGCGATGGAGTTGGAAGAGAGAAGACGCAGCAGGGAGAGACCCAAAAGAGGTTCGTGAGAAGCAGAAGGCGGCAAGAGGGAGCTGCGATGGAGAGAGAGAGAGAGAGAGAGAGAG